TCATGAGGAATACGAAGGGACTAAACCTTGTGTGTCATTTTTAGGTGATTTCCTTATTTTAATCGGAAGCTGAGCTTTCGTGCAAAATTATGAATGAATATAAACAAGGAAATATTTCCGATTGAAGAAGCCTAAATACATGTTTAAAATTTAAATCAAACTGGTAGTCTCACAGACATAAAAACTTCAGATACTTAAGAAAGCTTATCAATCCAAAACATTTTGTACAGTTTTGCAGTAAAATATATTTGTGGAAATTTTAGTCTCATTTCCAGCAACATCGAAATAGTTTCAAGCAACAGAAGAAGAAAGAGATATTGTGGTTTGACTGTTGAAAAAAAGGTAAAATTCACACTTAGCTCAGAGGGAGGAACTGTTTTTCAGATCTGTGGGCCAAAGTGTGTATTATCATTATTACTGGAACATTAGCTAACATTTTAAAAGTCTCCCTTATCAAGTGTGTTTTATCAGCTGTGGTGTTGATGTCAGACGTCAGAGTGTTCAGATACCCACTTATGATTCTCTATATTTAGCCAAGTCATCTCAGTTGATGAGATAATAGTCCCATATCAGTCTTTCCGTATTATTCTGACTTATTTCACATGAGCAATCTTCATTGCCAAATGTTGGTTTTCCATTTATTCTTTTCTTTTCAGCTACCTGATCTTAGCTCAGCCGAGATCAGGGATGTCAAACTCATTTTAAATCAGCTGCGCTTTGATCTTAAGTAGGCCCGACCTGTAAAAATCCCCTTTTTGTCAGTGGAAAAAAGTTTACCTACAGAGTCGATCCCTGTGATATCTAAATATAAGAAAAAAAGTGCAATTTCAACAGCATTTCTCAGTTTTACCACATAAATAATGAAACATAATGAAAGAAATCTGTCAGCATGACTCTTTGGGCTTCATTTGTAACCAATACATCTGTGAAATTACAGAAAAAGTTCTGATAGCTCATTGCCCAGACTGCCTTGTAATCATAAAGGAGTAATAGCCTATCTGCCTTCCTATAAAGATGTTGATTTACTAACAAATCTTTTTACTAATCATTGTCTTTCTTTTTTAGACAATCAAAACCAGATTAGCTCCTGTTTTAAAGTCGCCCACCTGGATAATTGACAGGATTCCCTGTTGGAAAGTTGAGTAATTATGGAGGAAAACTCATTTACATGTTCATCTCCTTCATTTTATTTAACACTTCAGTTCGAGATGCGAGGGCTGCCTGTTTCTCAGACTTGGTTTCAAAGAGCAGAGGTAACCCCAAGGTACTATTTGACACCATTAGTGATACTGTTGCTCCTGCTCCACCTGTTGTCCCAATTTCATGGAATGAAGATCAGATTAAAAATGTTTCTTTCTTCATTGAAAAAGTTAGTAATGTGAGGAACAGTATCTCTGCTTCTCTGTCTCTGTTGTCTGCTCCAACTCAAGCTAGGCCTGTTATTTTAGAAAGATTTTTACCCCTGTCCTTACCCGAGCTTGTCAAATTAGTTACTTCAATGAAAGCATCCTCTTGCTCTCTTTATATTTTTAGCTGGATCTTTGTTTAAAAATGTCTTTCAGTCTATCAGTCCCTGTGAGCTTACAATTATCAATACTTCTTTGGTTTCTGGTCAGGTCCCTGTTTACTGTAAGCATGCTGTCATTCACCCACAGTTTAAAGAAAAAGAAGGTTGACACTTCTCTTCTTAGCAGTTATAAACCAATTTCAAAACAACCATTCATCACTAAGACTTTAGAAAAGGTTGTGGCTAACCAGCTCAGTTCTGGATGACTACAGCATTCTGGAAAAATTCCAGTCTGGCTTTCGTACAGCTCACTTTACTGAAACTGTACTTGTCTCCAGTTACACCTTGATGAAATGTGATGCAGGAGAATGCTCTGTTCTTTTGATGTTGGACCTGACCTCTGCCTTTGATACTGTCAACCATCACATTTTGCTAGATAGGCTGAGACACTGTGTGGGTATATCTGGGTCTGCTTTGATTGGTTCGCATCTTATTTGTGTGAACGATCCTTTTCTTTGGCTGCCTCTAAGTTTACGTCTTCTTCTACTTCTTTTGCATATTCTGTGCCACAAGGTTCTGTGCATAGACTTTATCAGAGGTTGGATGACTGACAACTTTCTTTAACTTAATGAGGAGAAAACCAAAGTCCTTGTATGTGCTCCTCATAATTGTTTGCCCAAGGTTATGGAAAATGTAGGTCATCTTTCTACATTTGGCAAATCTTCTATTAGGAATCTTGGTATAACTTTTGACTCAACTCTGACTATGGATGCTCATGTTAAATCTCTGCTTTGCTCCTGTTTTTATCACTTCCCCAGCAGGTCCCTTAGGTCATGTGATCAGGGCTTGTTGGTTGTCCAGCACACAAGGCTGAAATCGAAAGGTGACAGAGCTTTTGGCATTGTGGCCCCCAGACTCTGGAACTCTTTTCCTTTGAGCTTGAGATCTGTAGACTGAGTGGTCTTCTTTACAAAACAGCTAAAAACTCATCTTTTTAAACTTGCTTTTGGTTAATTTTTGCTTCTATGTTTTAGCTTCTGTGAAACACTTTGTGATTTTTATCTTGAAGTGTCCTATACAAAGCCATCTTACAGCTGATATAATCAAAAATAAAACTCATGTAATTCCAAACTCATTTCTTAGTTTAGCGACAATTTTTTTGACATTTAAAAAAAAAATGCATATCATATTTGTCCTTGTCAGTCGACTGGCCCATGTGTTATGTTTTGTTATGTTTTTCCATGTCCCGGTCCCCTGCTTCTTCTGTGTGTATGTCTCTGTGTGTGTGTCCAGCATGCCAGTTTATGGGCAAACATCAGGCCAGAAGGAATTCCCGTGCTGAAGCCAGCCACACCTGTGGTCAATTGGCTGCTGCTGATTATTCGCGTGTGGCTCAACCCTTAACAGTGTGGCTGAGCTTCATTCGACGCTGGATCGTTGAGTGACATAGTACAGCCCTGACTCTGAGGTGAACCTGTCTTTTGCTTGTGTCTTTGAGTACGCCAAATTGATCATCACGTTTTTTCTTCATAGGAACCTGGAAAGGAGTGTGTCACGGGAGCGGAGCTGTTGGGAATTATCAAGTGTTGGAGTTTCACCACCAGACGAGCACTGTGCAGGAATTGGGAGTACCACAGAGGAAGCTACGCCTTTGGAAACCGTTAACTTTATTGTTCTCTATTTTACTGTAAATAAACTCACTGTTGCTACTGGAAAGTCCTGCATTTGCATCCTGTTCTTGCACTGAACCTGACAATAATATTACATTAATCATGGAATAAAAGTACAAGATTTCTGACATAAAATCACATAGTAAAATCCAATTAATAAAAGTGCTTTCCTGAAATTTTAAGCCTCATTAATTGCATTATAACAGTATAGGACAAAATTATTAGGTAATTTCACTGATTTTACACATGGAAATACATTTTTTAAATATAAAAATCTGTAAAAAAACCCAAAACAATTTAAAGTTAAAAATCTTCAAGTTATTATCCTATTAAAAGCACATGAATTTACCGTATTTTTCCATAATGGCAAATTTAAAATATTTTATTGTTTTTTTTCTTGCACCCGAGTTGCTGAAATCCTACCACTTTACTTTTTTTTTTCTTTTTTGCTGATGTACATGATGACTCTTGGATTTAAAAATCCACTCTGGTGGTATACAGATGCAATACTATACACAATTTTGTTACTGAATAATTTTTTCGGGAGATAATTAACAAAGGTCTTCCAAAGTTTATATTCTCAAGCTCTCTTACACTCAGGCATTTTTACACAGGAAGCCCTCCTTAGTGACTTACAGTAAGTGCAATCACAGAGCTTGGCAGTTATCCCTGAGGGTGTAGGGTCTATATATGGACATCCTCTTTCCCTCTACATCCCAGAACCAGACTTCACTTTCCTGTTTAGTGAGAAAAGAAACTATTCAATGTCAGAGCTGACCAATCAGCAGACATCTACTCAAATGTCTGACCAATAAGCCTGCAGGCAGAAAGGGAAAGTAACCCAGTGTATATAAGAACTGTCTTCATGGCAGTTTCGTTAGCAGACATGTGGTACAGCAGAGAGCAGCGCTTGGCAGGGAAATCAGGAGCTATGAAGTGCCTACCAGAAAATATTAAGGTGCTTTACATCGCCAGTGACTGTATGGAGCCTTATGTTGAGGTAAAATTACTCTGCTGAATGTATTTGTGTTAGGAAGTGCAGTGAGGTTCTGTCACCATGCATTGCAGTTTTGTTGCCACTCAATAGTTCTGGTTTTGTGGTTTAAATGAATTGCAACCTTTGTACTTAAGGCCATCAAACTTATATATGTAATGCAGTAAAAACGTCCCAAATAACAAATAAAAGGAGAGCAGTGGATAGCGGTGTAACATGATGACACTTTTTCTGCTTGCCTCCTTCAGATCATCACAGTGAAAGAGTCCAAACGCTGCCAGAGTCTGTGCAGCTCAGAAGCCTCTGAGGAAGAAGAGCCCGAGTACCAGCTGGAAGTTGATGATGATCTTCCTGTCCTCACTGACCATAGTCATCTGCTAGATGACTATCACCTAGAAAAAGTAAATAACACTTATTTATATGTATGTGTGTGGATCACAGCTATCAAAAGTTTTTCTCCTGAAGAACTGAGAAAATTGTGATTAGGGCAATTCCTCTCAAATCGTCCAATTGTTTAGATGATTTTCTGCTTCACCATCTCCAAATTTATAGCTAAAATTTCACAACAGTCATTATTTATGACATAAGCGGCAGCATTGCCCGGAAGTTGTGCTCACACC